GGAAAAACTTACTGATGAACAGAGAGAGATTGTTGTGTTAGTTTGAGATAACGGTTTTCTGTAAGCGTCTCTCAACGAGGAAGACGACTGCTCTTTTTAAAGCCGCAAGAGAAGTTATCTCAGAGCAGTTTTAAAACCGCTAAGCAGTTTGCAAGAGCAGTTCTATTTTTAAAACCGGTAAGCAGTTTGCAGGGGCAGTTCTGGAGCGTTTTGGGCCAAAAAACGAAGGCTTTTGGCCCATTTACTTGGCCCAAGCCCAAGCCCGGCCCCGCCCGGTTCGGTTTGGCGCGCGTGTGGGATTCCCTAGGTTCCTTCATGGTGCATATGTGTTCTTGTAATATTTTGAACACTACACATGCTTACCTTTATTTATACACCACCAAAATGTTTCCAACTTTGGATGTGGAATATTTTAAGTGTGCATTCATTAAACCAACACACGAGGTTTTACCTCTTAGCCCAATGACTTTATTTTATTTCTCATTCACATTTTAAACCCATTTTTCATAACCCAAATGTCTATAACAAGCCCATTTGATTATGAAGAAAAAATGGTTCCAACATGAGTTTGCACGGTGAGGACCAATAACTCAAAAAACTCTCTTTTGCTTTCTCTTGAAGATAGTAATATCAATCTCAAAACCTCAATATCCTCTGTTTTGAATTTTCAGGTGGATCTCCAGTGGTGAAAGGAAACACATGGTCATCCACAAAATGGTTCCCTGTCCACGAGTTCAAGGTTTAAGAGAAACAAAACAAAAAAAGCCAAAGTTTGAGGATGTAATGTTACTGAAATGTTGAACTATATCTATCAATGACATCTTCAGGATTGCCTCAAGTCTTTATCTTCAACCTTGAATTCCCGTTACCTATTTGTAGGGTTTTCGCAGACACAAAAGCTCTGGATTTGATTTTATGTTAACCTCTATATATTGCCAGTCGATGCTTACTTTGGATTTGATTTTATGTTAACCTCTGATTACTCTGGATTTGCTATGAAATTACTCTGGAGTTCCTTAACTTGGTCTAAACAAATGCGACCTTTTTTCTGTTTAAAATAGCACAAATATGATTGTTGTTAGATTACGAAGACTTTATAATTGTAAGCATTTTGAAGCCTAACGGTTACCATCATTGTTTTACCAACAACATTGAGCAAACGTGGCCGGTACTTGAGAACCAATAGTCGTATTTTCATGTTGTGAATCTAAAAGCTGAATTTTCGACCCATAATTTGCTTAGGTTTTATCACCAAACCTTCTTTCATAATTGTGAAAAACAAATATCCCTGCGGAAATCCGAATTTCAAAGTAAGACTCAGTTTCTCACAAAAAAAATTCAACCGAAAGAAAATGAACAATACAAATGCTACGGAAAAGTAAGCAAAAATAAAATGATACTGCTTTTTCCATGGGCTAAAGGTATAATCCATTCGTGGCCCAATATCGCTCACGAGAAGATCGACCCGCCTTAACCGTCCGATTTTGGTTTTCATTTGTTTGGTTCGGTTGGGGCGGCTTGGGAATCAGTAACCAAATCAGTGTTATTTCGCGTGGAATTGAAGTAGAGAGACAAATAAAAAACGGTTAGTTGTAAAAATTGGAGTTCGGTTCGATTTTGGTATTGTTTGCCGGTTAGATGTGGTTCCAAACGGTTTAGTTGTGAAAATTGGAGTCCGGTTCAGACGTGCTTCGCACCTAGGG